CCCCAAAACCCCAAAACCCCAAAACCCCAAAACCCCTTAAGATTGACTAGTATTTGAAATCTGATTAGAAATTAACAATGCTTATGTTTCACTAAATTCTCATCTGTGGACAGCACCATTCCTCATTCGCCCTCTCTAGCACTAGACTCTTCGTCCTTGTTCTCCTCTCTCTGACTACTCTGGCTCTCTTGGTCGAAGTCTTGTACTAAGACTTGGCTGGTCGAGAGTCCTCTGGAGTAACTTTTGTTCTGGTTTTTGGCTGGGGCGAGACTTGGCTGTATTTCTTTGGAGAAGCGGGAGAAATGGATCAGGTTGCTGTTTTGGAGGGATTTTATGGTTCTATAGGTGGGATTGGGGAAGTACTTTTTGGAGGTGGTTTTGGAGTTTATTCTGGATAGTTGTGTGCGGGGGTCTAGGATACCTTGAGTTCGGGATATCTTGTTTTGGAAGGTTTCGGCCGCTTGGGAGAGGTTTTGGGTCTTGATCGTTTTTAGTAAAACTGAGTTTTTAAGTTGGTTTCTGGCAAGGATTTGTTCTGTAGCAGCTCCAAGATCATCCCAAATTATTTGATCTATATTGTTCTTTTCTCTTAGAAGATAGTTTGTAACTCCTCATAAGTTTAATTTTCTAAGTCTATTTTGAGGTTCCTTTTCACTTATTGAAGAATCTTCAGACTCAGGAGTAGAACTTGTTTCAGTTAAGCCACCGTCAGATAAAGCTGGATTACAATTTTTATAATTTAAAGGAAAGTTGATTACTGAATTCCAAGTTATGTTATCATCATCCTCAACATCATAAATTTTAAACTTTTTCTCAAGATAATTAAACGGCAGGATAACGGAAATACCAGCAACAATAAATGGGATGTATGCCAATAAGTTCTTGCCATCAGATAAACGAGTTAAGAAATACCAGACACTAATCCCATTGATTAGAATCACTACAATGAATATGTTGGATGCACTGATATCCATAAAATAACCTATTTCTTTCGGCCTCTTATTCTTTTTGACAAGGATCCATTTCACAATGCAATATTGATAAATGATACCTATTCAGCAGATGAGAGGCAGGATAGGAAGTAGAACCGTATAAGTTCAGCAAACTAAGAGAATCAAGAAAGCTGAAGTATATTTGCTTTCAAGGCTCATCTCTTGTCCTTCAAAGAGCTCGTTGAACTGCCTTTGTGTTAATTTGGATTTTTCACCCTTTTTATTTTCTTTCCATCGTTTTCAGGTTTTTAGTAAACAGAATGGATCAAATAAATACATCAATGGTGATAAGAATCAAATCGCAAGTGTATTGTAAAAGATATCCGCAATAAGCCCTGTTCCTGAAAACCAAAACTTCTCTTCATAATTCACTCAAAGAGGAATGATCGCAGTATTAATATATAACGTAGTAACCATCTTTATTGTCAGAGAAAGAGTGTAAGAGGTATAAGTATCATGTCCTTCGTACATAGTCAAAATTTTAGCCAAAAATTTAAGACTTCCATTAAAGAAGGCAGTGATGAAGGAATTTAGGATATTGAGCAGCATTAAGAGTAGGAAGTTCAGGGGTTTATACTTGTTGCCCTGGGATTCGTAGTTTTTCTCGTAAATATTCCAAATCCTAAATTTAATGCAAAAGAAACTAAGAGTCATCACAGCATGATCATGAAGGATATTAGAGACTTTCTAAAGTGGGTTTTTGAAGAGATATGCAAGTTCTCCCAATACACATCTGATGGTTCTGCTGCACGTCTGGTCTGGAAGCGATCAGTATTACTTTCGCCTTCATTACAGCAGCTAAACTTACTTCAGATATATTTTAATAACCTTTTAGTTTTGCCAATATGAAGTTTATCATTCACATGATTTGCTATTTTTCTTGTTCTGAAGACAATGAAGGCTTTATTTACAAAATTCGCCTTCTCCTTGGCTGGTAGAATTAGTGATTTTGCATTGATAATCTTCTATCTCCTTCCTAAGCTCTTGGATTCTTTGGTATCTCTGCTCAATTGTCTTTTCGGTGATTTTAAAGCAGCAGACTCTTTTAGTAATTGGTTTTATGTCTCAATCCTTTGGATCTTCATCATTAAGCTCAAATATCTCATTTCCAATGGATGATGAGTCATCGTCTTTAATATCTTCGCTTTGGTGTTGTTCTTCATAACCCTTTTCTTCATTTTCTCGCTTGTGTTTTAGCGCGAGGTAGGATAATTCCTCTTCTTCAAGAATTTTTTTGGATACGAGAGAGGTGATCTTGCTAATATTGTATCAGCGGATGATATCGACAATATCTTCTGGAGGAACTTCGCATTCATTCTGAAGAAACCTTTTAATCCCTCTGTCAGAGATGTTCTCATTGATGTTATAAGCAAAAAGCGTGAAGTTGCTAGGAGTAATGGTCTCTCTATCTATCTGAGCTGCTTTCTTTAAATTTGCTCATCTGTAGATTCGATAGGCAAGAAAGATGATAAATATTCCAACCAAGTTTAAAATTATTATTGCATTCACTGATCCTGATTTTTCGAACTGTGAAGCTGTAATTCCATGATTCCCAAGAGACTGATAGACGAGGAATGTAGGAGATCTCACTCCTAATTCATCTTTATCATTTTCTTTGAGGTTGAGAACAATGGAAGCGATCGAAACAACTATTGTGAGTAATCCGAAAAGAATGATAAGAAAGATAAGGAAGTGGAAGAACATTGGGATTCCTGTTCCAAAAATTTTGAATGTACGAATGCTGGTCCAAAACTTGAATTTTTCTATCTTTTCAGATCCTCCAACTTGATCTTTACAACAAGCACAGTTAAATTTTTCATCTTGGTCAAGCTCCACAGTATAAGTTTTGAGATACTTTTGATCATTTTCTAGAGCTTCCTTATCATGAGGAGTTAGCCACACTTTGTCAAGTATCCCATGATATTTCCCAGTTTCATAGACAGGAGGGATTTTATTAAGCTGATTATTGAGCACACCTTTAATGTTGTTCCTCTTTAAGCTTCTCAAAATTTGTTCTCTAGAAGGAATCTGACCACTCTTTTTATTAAAAGAGGTTTGAGGATTTTGGTTCTCACTATAAACCCTTGTTAGCATTAAATCATTTCTGTCTCCTTCAGTGCTTCTAGCTCTCATATTATCTTGATTATCAGGCTCATTTTCTTGCTCAAATAGTTTTTTCGGGGAAGACCTTCTCTCTAGCATTTAACCCAATTATATTAATAATTTACATTGGGGTTTTGGGGTTTTGGGGTTTTGGGGTTTTGGGGTTTTGGGGTTTTGGGGTTTTGGGG